GTGGAGCGATTTGAAGCGCTAATTTCTGTGTTGGAAAATGTTACCCGAAGAGGGCTAGTATGTGCGTACAACAGTGATTTATGAAGTGTGTGTAAATCAGCGATAACGCTGTAATTTAAACATCAATAAGAGAGGTTGTAACAAACGCGTTAACAAATACAATCATCCGAACTAGAACCCCTTAGTTTCGTCACGCGTACCACTCTACACGTAACAATATTAAGTTCATCGGAAATCATTCGTATTGTCCAACATCGAACTTGACGAATGAAAACCCTCACACGGTCGACGTCTCTGCTTGTTCTCACAGAGGTGGGCGGGGCGTCCAGGTCGCCGTTCATCATCCACCACTTCTCGCCCGTTTACAAAGCCTTTGTGCCACCGAAATACGCGTACTTGCGCACGTGATAGAGAGTCATTACCAAATGATTTCTGAATCATTTCATAGGTATCGATAGCGCCCTTCCCCAGCTCGACACAAAACTGGATTGCATAACTTGACACGATTCTTCTCCATTTTGTGATGCCGTGACAAAAATACATCTGTACGAACCGCAACAGAACCACATATATTCATGCTAACAAGCTCAAACTTGGATTGCGGGTAGAGGAGAGATGTAACTATCATCTCGTAAAGGTCTAGGCGCCGCCATTTTGGCAGTTCACGCACTACAACATTAATCTCTTTACTTTGTGAACACACAATGTACATGAGTTTGTATCTCGCCCAGCAGTTTATCAGAGAGCAAATACAGATATATGATATTTTTTTAAGGAGATATATCACAAACATACAGCACCTAAATAATTCTGTCTAAAAAACTTCAGAGACGTATGTTAACAACGAAAAAAAAATGCAATGGGAAAAGAAGTTGGAATTAATGCCAAAAAAAATAGTATTTAAGCCATTTTAGAGTATGTTTACTGAATTACATAGACATTCAAGACATGATATCTTAAAAACAGTTTCAATTTTTATTATTAATATTTTATATATTCCCTTCTAGTTTTCAATTTCGACTCTTTCTCAAAAAAATCCAAGAAGGGGGGGGCGATGCCTGGTTTCCCCTTCCCCCCGTCAACATCGATGAAATGTTGGAACTTCTCATCAAGAATAACATCACACCAACTTCATATTGGTCATTAATGCGCCATATTCGAGGAGAAGTAACAGGATGGTGCATGGGCCCCTTTTACGGGCTGGAAGAGGTGATGGAGAGAGAAATGTCTGATTCTACCGGGAACCAAACCTCGGTAGTTCAGCCCGTAATCCAGTCACTATACTGGCTGATCTACACCGCATGTAACCATAAACTTTCCTATTTCTACATCGGCACTTGAAGGTCATGTGCCAGGACACGTGACAAGGACCTTGTACCTGACCACTGAAAGCAAGTGACTTTCTGCGAGACCGTATCTTCAGCACCTGTTAAGATAAGATGAGTAAAAGGAAATAAAACACGTGGGATGCTGACCTGCAAGTTTAATGAGCTACGTCCCGCATACATTCGTTGACACAGAGATATTCGAAGATCGATTCGTGATTTATTTCTCCAACAAGACATATTACTGAAGTGTAGACATTTAATTGTAAGTTTAGTAGCAAAACGAATGCTTACGGCCAGCGACAAGCCGTCAAGTAATACCTCCGTAGGCGTTCTAGCGAACTACTTGCAACTGACGCGGGGAGGAAGTTACATTACTTTTATATGTATAGAGAGGGATTTCAGAGATAACATTTCCAGTAAAATTGGTGTACTGTTTCATCACAGGATAACTCGTATTGCCGAACGACCAGTGCTGGCCTGCATTTGTTGCTCTGAATTAACAATCACAATTATAAACCATAGTTATAATTATAAATAATTATTTACCACTTAAAGCACAGTGATTACTGTAAGTACCAACTGCTTTAACATTAAAAGAAACTCTGCACTTTATCCACACTGGAAATTACAGGTTTCTATGATTTTCAGAATAAACAGTGATTATTTCCGTCAACAGCACTAACCAGTAGGTCTTTATATCGGAGACAGTATTTCCTGCGTGTGCGGAACTAAATTTTGAAGTAGCACTTAGACGAATTTCAGACTTCAAGGACTTAAATAAACTTACAAAGTGTCATTAGCAGCCCTCAGTCTAACTACAGCCATCCTGAATTTCTTTTTCATCAACAGATGTTTTAAAAAACATTCATCATTTCGTTTTCAAGCAAAAAATAAAAAATAAAACTACTTTTGTGTACAGTCTTGAATGAGCTCTTTATATGCAGTATATTATTTCAACATAACTGAGTATAATCTAAAAGAAGAACATGCCACAAAGTTCACGTATTATTGTTTAGGCTAACCTACAAAAGAAACGTCCTCCTGTACAGTAAGTTTCAGTTTACTCCACGGTTTATGAATACCGAATTAGTTTTATATAGAAAACAAAACAAACTCCGTGGCCTGTGCTCCGCAAGCGAACTAACCGACCGAGCGACCGCCGCTTGTTATTTAATGCCAACTTTTGCGGACAAAGAATGTGGCGTGGTCAGCACAACGGATCCCCACGGCTGTTAATCTCGGTTTTCTAGACCGGAGCCGTTGTTTCCTTGAAATAGCTCCTCAATTATCCTCACGAGGCTGAGTGGACCCCGTTCCAGACCAACTACTTCTCAGAGAATCTGGTAGCGCCGAGAATCGAACCCGGGACCTCTGGATCTGTAGCCAGGAACTCTGACCACTAGACCACAGAGACGGTCTGAATTAGTTTTATATAGGCTCCCAATTTCTGACGATAAAGTATAGGTCTAGTTACGTCTCCAACGGTGAGGCTCACTCGTTTCCATTGCAGATGGTAGTAAGCCTGATTTGTGGCCGCGCCATTGCTCAAGCGGTTAGTCGCTGGTTTCCCACCGCGGCGGCCCGGTTTCGATCCCGGATCTGGCAAAGTGGGATTTGTGGTGGACAAAGTGGCTCTGGGGTACGTTTCCTCCGAGTACTTCGGTTTCCCCTGTCAATCTTCATTCCACCAATTGCTCCACAATCACCCTCACCTATCATCTGGGGCTGGTACAATAGGCCAGAAGTGGCCGCAGTACAAAGGACTTAGTCCCATCCTACTAGCAATGAAAAAAAGCCTGATTTGTAATCCACAAATTTATAGTCCCATCCTACTAGCAATAAAAAAAGCCTGATTTGTAATCCACAAATTTATTCCAATCACTTATTTTAAATCCCAGTCGTTTTGCAACAGACAGATGTAACTTTATGTAAGATGGAACCAGTCCAACATTATTGGGATTAATATTCCACACAAGTGTTTAATTCAATACAAGGTTATCTAGTTTGGTAATTATACTACGGTCAGCTACCCCTGTCACAGTTCAGCTAGGACTGCCAATGAGTAATACGCAATGTGGAGAGTTTACTCTGGTTATATAAACGAAGATAAACAAATAGGTGCTTATACGATGGTACACTGCTTTCATTATTTGAACTTGATAAAAAATTCTGTGTACCAGAACGGGAGAAGTATTGGATATCTGCAATTGTAGTTGCGTAACAGTAAAATAAATAAGTTATTTACAATTTTGCGTATCTCATTCACGCGGTAGCGTAGTTGGCTGAGGCACTATGCTACAGACCGGAAGTTCGCTTGTTCAAGTCCCGATGAGGTAGATTTTTTTCAATTGACCTAATCCTTCCAGCCGCACTATGGCCCTGGGGTCGACTTAGCCTTTAACAGAAATGAGTACCAGGAATCTTCATGGTGGTAAAGGGCGGCCGGGAGGTGCGTAAGGCAGACAACTTCACCGCCATCTGTGAGGCGACTGTCTAGAAAATGTGGAAACATCGAAGTTTCACAACCCTACACGCCTCTACGGCCTGTTACAGGAACAGCTCTATTTACCCCGCATGCCGATATAAATCTATTGCAAAAAGTAAAAGTTGAAGTTGAAGATTTCCATCTTCTGGGATATAACGCCTTGTAGTATGTTGAAAGTTAAGCGACATTTCGAAAGATCATGTCTCCTCCATCTTCAAGATTGGAGAATAAGCCAAGTAAGAAACCAGCGTGAAGGTGGAGACGACATGTTCCTCCGAAACAACGGTTGACTTTCAACGGACTACAAGGCGCTATATATCCCAGAAGATATATGCGTAACTCTTCATAACCAGCTGTAAGAACCTCAACAGCCTACACAAAGGTAAGGTCACTCCTGTATTTGCACTTTGCATTTAGACGTGATGGTAAGAAGCGCGTATTTGAGTTCGGCTGTCTCGAGGTAGGGGCTACATTTCATGCCCTCCTGCCACTCTACTCCCTGGGAATGAGCCCCCAGTACCCTTTAGACACGAGGCTGGGTGGGCCCCCAGAAACGATTTGGATGCAACAGCAAAGAGAAAAATCTCCACCCCTTCTGAGAATAGAGCTCCGACCGCGTAGCCCGTGGCCAGCCTCCATACTTACTGAATTACCCATAATAGATGAGGTTAATGATCAACTTCACGGCCCGGCCGTTTTATCCCCTGGCAAACTGCCCTCGGTACTCACTTGATAGGTGGTTCGGGGAAACCCATAGCTGGTTTGCACGTGGTGGAAAGGACAGATATCTGCGCCCTTTCTGGGAATCAAACTCCGGTCATCCAGTGTCTAGCCAGCCAGTATACTCTTCAGTATAACACTAGATGGAAGTCAAGGCTTGGCTTCATGCCCTGGGCGCTTAACCCGCAGGGCAATTGTCCCTAGTATCCATCGGATTGGCAGCTGGGGGACTCCAGAGACAATGTGGAAACAGCGGCGAATATGTTTTCCTTCCTGGGAACCGAATGCCGGTCACTCAGCACCTAACTAGTCACTATGCTGACTGAGCCACCCTGGCCTACACTATTGTAAATTTATTAAACAGGTAATAATGTTAAGCTGTCCAAAAGGTTGACGTGTGAACACTGTAGTTAGAACAGTGTGTCCTTCCGTTCAGTTCATAAGAAAACAGAGAAACACCGGCTAACCTGTTGCGTTTGGTCACCCAAAGCGGTCTCCACAGATAGGGGTCCGTTGTGTAGTTAAGGGCAATGACCCGCACGCCAGGACAGTCCTGGGGCAGCCAATCACGAGGCCAGCACTTGGAGTACGGCTCAGGTTCGTTATTGTTATCCTGCATCCTCGCATCCTCCATCAGCTCATCAAACAGCGTCTACAAGAGACAGCACACAGTTAGAATACGTCACACCGTGTGTAGGCCACTTTACGGAAGATAATGTCCGGTGTTACAGGGTCTGGAATTATCGCCATCGTGTCAATGCCTGAAGTATGCTTAAAATATAGGCCGCGCCATAGCTCAAGCGCTTAGTCGCTGGCTTCCCACCGGGGCGGCCCGGGTTCAACCCCGGGTCTGGTCAAGAAACCTGTTTCAGGTGGAAATTAAGAGGCGATTGAACTCGGGTAATGCTTGTTACCATTCAGTCCAGAACCTTTTGTCTTCTCGTCTGTTGTCCAAAAAAATAAAAATTAGAATATACAAAACTAATTTTGCCTGTGGTTCTGTATGAGTGTGGAACTTGGTCTCTGACATTAAGGGAGGCACATAGACTGAGGGTGCTTGAGAACAGGGTGTTGAGGAGAATATTTGGACCGAAGAGAGATGAAGTGACAGGAGGTTGGAGAAAACTGCATAATGAGGACCTTCATAACTTGTACTCTTCTCCAAGTATAATTAGAATGATCAAGTCAAGGAGGATGAGGTGGACAGGTCATGTAGCACGAATGGGAGGGACGAGGAATGTGTATAGGATATTGGTGGGAAAGCCAGAAGAAAGAGACCACAGGGAAGACCAAGGCGTAGGTGGGTGGACAATATTAGAATGGATCTTGGAGATAGGATGGGATGGTATGGATTGGATAGATCTGGCTCAGGATAGGGACCAGTGGAGGGCTCTTGTGAAAACGGCAATGAACCTTCGGGTTCCATAAAATGCTGGGAAATTCTTGAGTAGGTGCAGAATTGGCAGCTCCTCCAGAAGGGCTCAGCTCTATGAGTGAGTAAGTAAGTAAGTGAGTAAGTATGAGAGCAGGAAAGGAAGGGACAAGTCTACATGAGAAATCAGGGGAGGGGGGAGAGGTGAAGGGTCTGGGGAGCAGGAGCAAGGTTAGAGCAGGTACAGGATATTGTGTCGGGGGAGAAAGGCAAGGTTAATGGGAGGGCATTAACCCTTAAGCTGGGGGGTTGCTATATGAGTCGGTGATAAACTGCTAGTCTGCTTGCACCTGCTCTCACCGTTTCTTCGCTTGTGGATTTTCTTATTTTTCCTTTTATCCTGAAGATGGAGGCGATACGTTCCTCCGAAACGTCGGTTAACACCACATCTACACGGTGCCACATCCCAGAAGACTGCTTCCTTCATAGTCACCGCCGTGAAAACCTCAAATCTTACACCCTCAGTCTATGTTCCTCCCTTAATGTCAAAGACCAAGCATGTGGTAAATTAGGGCATATAATGTTTTGTGATGGTTCCTTTCATGTTCCGCTGTCTTTATTGTGGACGTTTCGGGCAGTACTGAGCATTATTGCATGCCAATATCTCAGAAATGCACTTCCAAATAAAACTTGAATTAAGTTCTCTGAAAACTTAGATTCTTTAATAATTATTTTATGCACTACGAAGACACCTCTAAACATGCAAGAAGTTTTGATTATTTACTGTTTTATTTTTGGATTTTTGCAAGGTAGAAACCTTAAGATGGCGTCATTTCGTATATCTACCTAGGTTTTGACCTCCCACCAGTTGATATCTAAAAACAGACAATACTTGCATGTGAATTTAACGTTCGTTAATAATAAAGAATAGTTCAATGTGGTCTTAATTATTTAATTTATAATTCTTGTGAATGCACCTGTTGAGTTTACAGTGTAGCCTCTTACAATCTTGTTTAGCTTTATGAAATGTACGTATATTCAAATGCTCCTCCCTTAATGTCAGAGACCAAAGCCACAGCCACATACAAAATTTATAGTTTTTGTATATTCAAATTTTTAAGTTTTAGACAGGGGGCAGTTGGCTGAGGCACTATGCTACAAGTCGGAAGGTCGCGGGTTCGATTTCAGATCAGGTGGATTTTTTTTTATTTACCTAATCCTTCCAGCCGCAATATGACCCTGGAGTCGATTCAGCCTCTAACAGAAATGAGTACCAGGAATCTTCCTGGAGGGCAAACGGCGGCCGGCGCGTAAGGCTGACAACCTTACCGCCATCTGTGAGTCGACTACCTAGATAAAATGTGGGAGCCTCGACGTCTCACAACACTATAGGCCTCCACGGCCTGTTACAGGGATAGCAGAGGAGAAGAAAAAATGTTCTGGACTGAATGGTTGCAAGAATTATGGAATTATTATTATTATTATTATTATTATTATTATTATTATTATTATTTAAACAGTCTTCTTTTGTATTTTGTTTGTTTTTTTTTTCCTTTCTTCTTACTCGTGGTAATATTGTAATAGGCCTCTGGGCTGTTAAGCTTGCATGTAAAGAAGCAACAACAGCACTGAATTATTACTACTACTATTACAGCAAATTAAGACCTTATTACCTCGTCTCCTACCAGATCCATGTCTTGCTCCGTTCCCTCCACAGAGCTGCCGCTCCAGGTATCCTGATAGGGTGCAGCGGCTTGCAGGTGCCTCTGCCGCATGGGAACTGTTCTCACATCCGTCACATCCCAGATACCCTGCTTCCATGTCTTTTCCAGAGACCCGTGAAGTCCATGGATGAAGATGACGTCTGCGCGGATTGGCTCGGGGCTGGGGTCGTACAGCACATCGCAAGTGACACATTTCTCGGGTTCCGATATGTTCTCTCTGGTTTTCTGTTGTGGATGTTTTGATCGTTGAATTAGTTTCGAAGATGGTGAGAGTACATACCCTAAAGAAGAGACATGCAATTAATAATTACTAATCGTAAATTATATAATACGACATGTTATATTGCGTCCATCGCTGTGCAACGGCTACAATGGGAACACATACTTCCGAGACAACGAATACATGGAATTTGTTAAGTTCCCACAGCGACAAATGGAGTCCCAAGGGACTCGGACCCGAGAAAGACTGCGCTGGCTAGGGTCAGCAGCATATACAAAAGACAGATCCGTCCTCTCGTCAGAGAGAGCGCCCCACAAAAAGAAGACCGTAAATGTCAAACAGTAATACATATCTGGTCATGAGCCCCAGGTGAGGCTCGACACCAAGGCTTACTGACTGACTGCCCGTCAGTCGCAATGTGACTTTGACTTTGACTTTGACTTTGACAGTGGACAGTCGAAGTCTAGCAGCCGCCGAGAACAAGTGTGCAGTGCGCAGTACAGCTGCGAAGTAAGACGAAACCGAGAGGTGCAAGAATTGTGGTATCGAAGAAGAAACATCCGAGGACGTTACAATTGATAATAATTGTACTCGCTGGTGAAAAAGCGAGCGTTCATCAAACTTATTCGCTGAATCCGAGACCTACATGGAAGTTATTCTTCGCGTTACCTAGATAACACGCTACGATATATAATCTCAGCGTAGTAGTCAGCACTCCTGCTCCATATTATAAAAGTCCCAGGTTCGAAAATTCGTCCAGAGACCGGTTACTCTGAAAGGTTATCCATGGTTTTCTTCAGTCTATGTCCACTGTCAGTAATCAGAAGCCCGCCTTATTTGACTAAGATATCCCACTGTGACAAATCGTGACGATGGCTCACCTGACAGTGACGATACTGAGGACAGGGAGATAGGCTCCAGATATTTGCGCACTGCAGATACGATGGTTCTCTGGTTTCGCAGGCACGCGTAAAAGACGGCCAGACAGGCGGGGACCAACACCTTCAGAAGCAGCTTCATTTGGCTTCTTACATATAGTAGCTTCCTGCAACGGCATGCCACTAAAATAAGCGAGCATGTTCATATCTCACATCTACTCAACTCAATAGAGTGGAGGACTTCACTGAGAACAGCCTTGTAGTGCTTTCGTCAGTTACTGAACTCAGCGAAATTCATTGTGCATTCTTTTAAAAGAGGTGAGGTCTAAACCTACGGACATTATTATCTACTAATTTCATTTCTTACCTAAGTTTACATAAGATAATACACCAATAACCTACAAATAAACAAACAAACCCATAAAAATAAAACTTCAGATCAAAGTCTAACCTCTCATCATGATCCTTAACCTAGCATCAAAAAAAAAAAAAATCGGTGGTTTCGGTCGAGCGACCGCCGCTTGTCAGCGAAGTTAGTGCCAACTTTAGCGGATAGAGGATGCCGCGTGGTCAGCGCAACGGATCCCCACGGCCATCAATTTCGGTTTTCTAGACCCTGTTGTAAATCGCTTCTGTTTTCTTTTTTGCATGCTCTTCTCTGTAACTTCTCGGGATGTTCGTGATGTGTGTCTGTGGGAGTACCTTAATAAATTGGTCCTGAGATTCCGTGCTATGCTGAGTTCGAGGAACGGTTGTTTACCCAGTCGTTGCTTAGTAGCGGATGGTTACTAGCGTGTGATTGGTTAGTGCTTGATCCAACATGGGCGGTTCCCACATGAATGAATGAATGTATGAGGGGTAGGCCTTCTCGGCCCTTGCACCGCGACCTACAGTGGTCTGTACTTTATAGCACAATGAAACTATTTTATGCGAACAGATGACGTGATATTTGATGTTAAGCAGCTACTATTCGATTAGTAAATACAGACTATTCATTTTATAATATACTAGCTGTGCCCGGCCACGCCTTGCTGTGGCTCAGTCTGCCCGTTCTTCCCCAGTTTGATTTGAAATTACTCGACGCATTGCTTCCGCTCCGCGAGTACGACGACCTAAGTTTGACCTTCTGCGAGGCATTATTTGGATGAACTAAAGCAGATCGATTGCACCGAAGAAGAAGAAAGAAAGTTATTGCATATATATAGATATTTATACAATGTCTTATCTTAAACACATAAATAATTGCAAAACATTAAAAAAGGAAAGAACACGAACGGTAAACGACTCAGCCCAATTCCAACGCAATGTAACACGAAATAATTAAATCAAAATGAAAATAAATCGAAACTGTCTCTGCTTTGATTTCACTCGGAATCTCTTGTGATACTCGTGACCCCGTGATACTTGCGTTTCCATGGAAGTTTACTTTCCGGTTTCATCCGTTGTTACGCAACGGAACTTATTATCCTATGCAATGGTCTGATCTAGCGTTAATATGGAAACGACTGCACTGAAGAAGAAAAAGAAAGTTATAACAAAAACATATGAAATTGCAAAACATTAAAAAAGAAAGAACACGAACTGGAAAACAAAGAAGAAACAAAAAAAATAAAAAATACTGACGAAATATTTAAATTCAAACGCAGATCAATCGACACAGCCCAATCCCACCGCCAATTGCATCGGAAAATAAGGGAAACAGTTAAGAAAACGAAATGAAAAACAACAAAAAATAGACTATACTCACGAAATGAACGCTACGGTAAACGACTCAGCCCAATTCCAACGCAATGTGACACGAAATAATAAAATCAAAACGAAAATTTCGTTGCCACGGTTATTCCTAGGCAGCGATCCGCTGTTTCAACAGTTCGTTGCCACGGTTATTCCTAGGCAGCGATCCGCTGTTTCAACAGATCGTTGCCACGGTTATTTCTAGGCAACGATCCGCTGTTTCAACAGTTCGTTACCACGGTTATTCCTAGGCAACGATCTGTTGGTATTCGATGGACGACGTATAACACGTTTTTTTACCTGTTTTTACCTGTCACGGGCTTGACATCTATATAATAGGTATATAAAAACACGCGCGTGTTCGAATGCAACGTTATGTCAAAATTTCAAAGCAATCGGTGAAGAACTTTCGGAGATCTTCGAGGAGAGACAAACGAACATTTACATTTTTATTTATATAGATTTACACGAGGTTAATTCGTGCAATTTTACACTTAAAACTGAAAGCATTAAACACAATGATTTACTTTCCTTAATTTCAACAAATTTTGTCAGTCACTCAGACGCATTCTGTAGCTCCTCTTGCCTGTATGTACTTCACAGGCCTACCGCATAGTTGTTCCCTTACTTTGCTGAATGAACTCGCTACGTTCTGTTCTCACATAAATATTAGTACGAAGTACTAATATACTAATATACTAATAGTAAGAAGTGTTGTTTTGCTGTTTAATTATTGTGACATGATGCCTGAACGGAGGAATAATAGAGCCAGAGGAGACGTGAATTGCTAGGCTACGGATACATAAGCAACAATGGAGGAATTGTTGAGAACAATGTTTTCTGTTCGATCAGTGCGAAGTGGTAATAAAAGAAGAAGTAATGAATTGGGCCTGACCCGTATGGAGGCGGCATCGAATACCTCCACCGTGACCCTGCGAATTGTGGGAGGCGACAAAAAAGGAAGTCTGAAGTCTGAGACAGTAAAATATGGTCGCGAGTCCCAAGGACTCGGACCCGAGAAAGACTGCACTGGCAAGGGCCAGCAGGATACACAAAAGACAGACTCGTCCTCTCTCATCAGAGAGAGCGTCCCCACAGAAACAAATACCGTAACTGCCAAACAATAATAAATATCTATGGGGCTCGACATCAAGACTTACTGACTGACCGACCGTCAATTGCAATGTGACTTTGACTTTGACTAGAATTTGGGCTCGTTTGGAATATCTGCACCTTAGCCTGTGAGTTGCAGGCGGCAACGAAAAGGGAATCCAGTGCCGGGGGGTATAACTGGGTCACCCTGTTCCTGGGGGATATAAATACGGGGACCTGGCCCTTCAGGTTGCGGGAGTCTAGAATCTGAGACAGTATAATGTGGTCATGAGTCCCGCGGAACTCTGACCTGAGAATGACTGCGCTGTCGAGGGACAGCATCAGTTGTAAACAACAAACCCATCATCTCGTCAGAGAGGATGTTTCATAAGCACTATTATCGCAAGTGTTCAGTTGGGAAAAACACTCTCTGGTCGTGGGCCTCAAGAGGGCTGACGCTAAGACGATCTGATAGGAGGTAAGCCCCCAGTCGTAAAGTAACTCTGACACTGACTCTGACTCTGGGGCTCAGTTGGCAGCCTGGCTGTGAAGAGAAGTTACTTGTTCTGTAGAGAGTGATATAGTTTTTGTGTTAAAATCCGTTGCCAGGAAACGGATAGTGGAGTCTGTAACATACTGAAGACAGTCGTGCGTGTGACAGTGAAGTGTAAAATGTGGAAAAAGCAATAATGTTATAATTGTTTGTAGTACGACCAGTAAGTGATCAATAAAGCCAAAAATCCAAAACTCCATCGCACACACATATACACGTGACACTATTAATCCGACATGAATTTAACAATTTCATGGAAACTGTTTCTCAGTCTTACTTTGGCCGTCACTTTCTGTTAGAATGGAAGAAAATTATCACTGGTATATTTTATCTTACAAACTTTCTGGTCGATAACCTTAACATAGCTCCGTATCGCTGAACTTTGGAACATGCTCACAATTTTTTGTAACATTCGAGCAAATTCTATCCACATTGAAGATTTCCCTGTACGGTTCACTGTGCGGAAACAATGCATAGGAATGATTACATTGTGCGCTGCTGTTGAAAATAAACTCTCAACTCAATTGATGCAATTAAGATTCTAAAAAAGGAGAGATAAATTTGTCCCTATGCTTAACTAATTAAGCACTACGCCATGAAGACGTATGGGGGAGTGGATGTATAGATCCACATTTTCTTTATCTCGGCACTAGTTGGAGGTGAGTAGTCAGTTTCACGCCTCGGCCGCTTTACCCCCGAGAAAGAGCCCCCGGTACCAATTATGTAGGAGGTTGGGTGGACCACAGAACAGGTCTGGACGATTGGAGTAGAGAAAATTCTTGATCCTACCGGAACTTGAACTCCTACCCCTCGGTCGTCCAGCCCGTAGCCAGTCGCTACACAGACTGCGCTATCCCGGCTCCCAATTAAGATTCTACATGTATGAGTACGTCTATAGCGCAGACACATAAGCGCTGGTGTACATACGAGGGAGAGTCAATAAATAGGTCACAAATAGATATAAATCGTAAAACAATTAATAATCGAAGCTGGAAGAAACATTAATTTCCCGACTTATCCTTCACCATCACTGATGCTCTTGTCCCATTGTTTTGTCAAGGCGTCGAAACCCGCAACGTAGAAGTCTTTTGACTGTTGCCTCGGCCACTTCCGCACCTCCGTTTCAACCTCTTCCTCACCAGCGAATCGTTTGCCGCCAAGGCTGAACCGCTTTACGCGGCAAACACTTCCCATCTTTGACAGGAAATATTATTTTTATGAATATCATTTGCATTGAGTCCTTTTGCCCACAAAAAAAAAACGCATAACAGAACGCTGTTTTCGATAGCACATTCCTCAAGCAATGTCACCATTTTGACTACTGAAACCAGTCTCTGAACATGCGCATGCGCGTCTGCTACCCAGACTGTCATGAAGCTGGACTGCGCTGCTACCTAGTGATACACACAGAAAACCTCTTACTTCCATTACAGTTGTTTTACTTCCATTTGTGACATACTCACTGACTCCCTCGTAATTAACCGTACCATCACTTCAGCCCTTATACTTCTGAAGTAAATTTTTCTGATGCCCAGAAAAACATATTGTCATATTAATGAATATTTAAAACGAGAGTTGAGTAATTTTTCCCCTAGCCTAACTAGCGGTTCAAACGAACCGCATACAGGTCGTGGGCCATAGTTTAGCCACGTTTGATCTAGATAATTGTAGGATGACTGACGAATAATGAATTGAAAATAATTTGGAAGAATTGGTCGTGGACTACTCGAGGTAATATCCTGGAATTTTTATCAAATAACTGAGGAAAATCATCATCATCAGTAATCT